ATAATAAAATTATTAGTGGTGACGGTTGCAGTGGTTTTCATCGTCACCTTCATTTTTTACGAAATGCCTCGTGAATATATTAATTCTCTAAAAAATCACGAAGTTATACCTGTTAATTAAATATTAAATAAACAACCTTTAATAAATAATTAAATAAGTATCTGAATAATTTTATAATAATTGTAATAGAAAATGTTCAATACGAAATAAAGATCATTTCATTTATTTATACATTATTAATTATTAAATTCTTGAACCTTAATAATTGAAAGTAGAACTTATCACTTCATTGTTTTCATAACAAATTGATGAGTTTTGTTACTGCTTGATAAATATTACTTAATAATCGGCATACAACACAAACTCATTTTCGTTGATTTTTTGACTTTCACGTTATTTAGTTGAGAATACTTTAATAAACTTTGAAATTTATTAATAATTAGTAAATTTTGAGAGAGGAAGTATGTTGATAAAAATTTAACAAATTCGAAGCTACACTCCTTTTAAAAACAGATAATAAAACCACAACGTTTTATAAGGGAATAATATTAATTGCCTTAATTTAATTAATTGCCTTGTTTATAGGAGATTTTTAAATTCAAAATTGTATCCAGGTAGCACGAAAAAATATGTAAAATATCAAAACTACAGTGCTTTCTGTAATATTTGCTGTGTAAAACAATTTTTTGCCAATGTTAAACTTGCTTGATTATATTTTCAAAAACATAAATTCGCATAAAAATCCCCAGTTTATTGGTAACATATTATATTTTAGAATTGTCCATCTTACAATTTAGAATTGTTGTTTATCTGTTTTTCATCTAGTTTTTTTTAATTAGTACTGATATATTAATTATATACATATGTATTAATATGAATTTTAAATTTGACAGCAAAATAATCTGAATAATATTACACATTGTAAAATATTAGAATCACACATAAGATTTAAAATTCGCGCCAAAAATATTAGACTCGCAACCATATTTATGACGTAAAAGTAAATACGCAATAACAGCAATTGGTCTGGATAAATATTGAATGAGCACCATTGGTACAGCCAATGTCATGCGCAGAACATGTCAATTCTTTTCGTTGGTATTCTACACTACCATGATCAGGCATTGAATCGCGATTGCATTCTGACGTATAATTGTCGATTGATCACAGCAAATTATAAAATTATGAAAAATCTAAATTTCAAATTGTTTTCCGGTCTCAATAAACCGTGTCATTCCAAATGTCATATTCGTTGCGGAATATAACCTAATATATAGAATTTGTAAACATTAAGAGTAGAACGTGATCTCAACTCTGATAGTAAAATTGCCGTATAAAGCATTTAGAAAATTCCTTTAGAAATGAAAATAACGAAATCCACTGTAATCCTTTTAGTTTTTGTATTAATGTTATCGATATTTGTAGCAAATGTTGCAGATCTGATCAATGTTGATAATCATGTATTAGATGATACCTTGCATGACAAGGATACAAAAAAAGAATGGTCAGAGCCAAAATTTTATGACATTGGAGAATCATTTGACCACCTAATGTGGTTTTTACAAGTTCGTATTTTCCATAGATATACATTTATTTACATTTATTTATTTATAGAAATTATGTATATATAAATCATGTTTTCTTCAGATATCAGATATACATATAAGCATATTTCAAGATCCATTTAGGATAACAGAATTAAAGGAATTTTGTAACATTACAATAAGCAGCATTAAACCTTCTGTTGTACTTGCTTCAGGTAACTTTCATTTAATAAATATTCTTTTGTATTATATATTTTACATTGATAACAAGTACAACGATTCAACAGGTGATCTCACAGATGCAAAAGCCAAGGATAAAATGGGATCAAAACAAATATTGGAAGAATGGCAATATTATAAACGTGTTTTAGATGAGACTGAAGTTACCAAGAAAACTCTATGGTTAGATGTGAGAGGCAATCATGGTAGGAACAATAATATTTAATGATCAGTTTTCATTTAAAAATAATACCAATGTTAACTAAAATATATAATGATATTATTTATAGGTATAAAATTTATGTATATGTTATTTAAATTTGTTTTAGATAATTTCAACGTACTAAGTCTTAAATCAAAAAACAATTATTATTCAAACTACTCTATTCAAGGACAAAAGCACCCAAGGTCTTATATGTACACTATAAATGCTGATTCTGAATTATATACATTTATTGCAATAGATGCTTGTTTAAAACCTGGTCCAAGAAGACCATTCAATTTTGTTGGTATATTAGATGAGCATGAAATTAAAAGTATATATAATTTAATAAATAAATCCAAAGATAACAATGCAGATTTTATAATATGGTTTGGTCATTATCCCACATCTTGCATTCTGTCACAAACTAATACCAGCATTAGAAATATCATAGGTAATAATTAAAATACATTGTGTATACATGTAAATGTGTGGAATCATTAACTTATTCGATTATTCTTTACAATTATAATTTTACTTTGCTTTGTGCAAAATAATGTATGATAGCAAAATTTTCAGTGATAATACATATTATTTTAAAACTTTAGATTACTTCTTAAAATTTTATAACTTTTACAGAGAATCTAATATATTTTCAGGCCGATATAAAGAAAGTATGGTGTATCTTTGTGGACATTATCATACACTTGGAGGAGCAGTGCCTAATATGTATACTTTACAGCAAGCAGGATTTCTTGAACTAGAATTAGCAGATTGGAAAGATAATAGAATGTACAGTATTAATACTTTATATTCATTATAATAGAAAGCATATTCAATTTTTATGATATTGTGTTATAAATAATATTCATTTATGCTGATTTTCAGGTATCGTTTAGTGGCAATAGACCATGGTCAATTTTCGTTTATAGATGTAAAACATAAAGAATGGCCTGTAGTACTAATAACTAATCCTAAACATGTTTTATATACAATGCCCAAGAAAGAGAATATAATGTCTATTATTAAATCTACACATATTAGGTGAGCATTTTTTGTACAATGAGATGTATTTTTATTATTGCCATATAATATGTCTCTTATTTTTGTAGAATTTTGGCATTTTCGATAGCATTGATAAAATCTGTCGAGATTCAGTTAGATGCTGAACTTTGGTCTGAGTGTGAACATATTAAAGGACCACTATATGTTTTAAGATGGAATACAACAAACTACAAAGAAGGAATTCATACTATTCGAGTTTAGTAAAATATGTTGACTTATTTTTTATTATTTTTTGTTTTATTTTGGTCAATATTTAATAATATAATAATTTATGCATTAAAAATTAATAACAAAAAAATAATTACAGGTAAAAGTTATAGATATTGATGGAAGAGAAACAACAGTAGTTCAACCATTTGCACTTGATAGATCACGTTTATCATTTCGTATTTTACCTAGAATTATACTTATGTCTAACGTCAGTAATATCGTAAGTAACTTAATCTATCGCAGCTTTGCAAAAAAAGTGACACAATTTGAAAAAGTATAGTTTTTAGAAAAAAACGAGAAACTAATTTCAGGCAGAATTAAATATTATTTTAAACAAACAACGCAGTTCAAAATAATAGTTATCAATACTTTATCAACATAATATTGATTTTATCATTTATAATGATAATCGAAACAAAATTCGTAATAAAAAGTACAGCACAATATCACATAAATAAAAAAAAATAATATAATTCCTTTCTAGCTGCAAAATTATGAAGATCAATGAATAAAATTTTCATTTAAGAATTCATAATTCAGTTAAGAATTATTCATAATTCATAATCAAAAATTATCTCAAAATTTTTGTAATGATAATTCGATAAAAATAAATCATGGTTTTTGATTCACTTTTTTACAAAGGTGCTATATGTATTTTGGAACAATTTTATGTTTAGATGAATCTGGTATAATATTTTTTTTATTTAGTTCCAATTCCTGTTTGGAACGGTGTTAGTTCTATTAGTAATTCCATTGTGTATACTTCGTTTCCTTCATATATTGTGCGAGAGTGAGTAAACTTCTTTTAAGTATTATTAAAAATTTCTTAATGTTGAATGGAACATTGAAATTGGAACGTTTTAATTAGGGAAACAAATGAACCGACCAAGATTCAGAATAAAATTTTTTCATTCTTGGATTAGAAAATTGTGGATATTATCTACTATTGATCGTCTGTTTTTTCCTTTAGTATTATACGCATTATACCTAACAATTGGTAAGCATTTAATAATTTTAATTTTATTGATTTGTCATATTTATTTTTAAAAAAATGTTTATTTTTAAGGTCCATGGGCTATTGGTGAAGTCATAGAAAATCAAACAGGTGTAATTTTTGCTTGGGGAACATTTATTGGGAAATCTTTTTTACCTGGTGCTTTTACTTATGCTTACGGATTTTTTCAATTATTTTCCTTTCATCTGCCGCTGATGCTGATTTTAGCTAATAGAGTGGATAAACGGTAAGATAAAAATGTATAATTTTTCATTGATTTTTTGTAGATTGCATTTTACTTACTTATCACTAAATAAATAATCCTACAAATGTAGCGAATAAAAATTAATTTTTATGATTTTACAGATTGCAAAATACTAAACCAACTAGCAAACCATTGTCTAAGATTTGTTCTGTTTTACAATATTTACCAATAATATTATTAATCATGATGCAAACATGTATGGCTTATTTCTTCTGGCTAGCATATGGAACATTGGCAACGATATTATGTCCTTTACGCACTTGGAGTATTTTTTTAGCAATCATGTTGTGGTATCAAGTAGATACAATGCCATATTCGTGTCTAAGGTATGTACTATATCAGAAATGAAATATGCTAAAAGGTATAAATTATTTACTCAGAAATTATTAAATATAACGTGTTGCTATATTTCTCTTATTATTTTTTCTATTGATACTAATTATGATTTTTTTTTATAAAGGTCTGCTGCAAAAATATGGTCTCCTCTTGGTTAATTTATATAAATAGTAATATAACTTACCATGAAAGTGTAGCAAATTACCAGTATTAATTTTGTGTAACAAAAATATTTTCATGCTCGTACATTCATATTAGTAATTTATAAAATATGTATGTACATATATATGCATATTAAGGAGGTACTTTCAGAAAATGCGTAGAATTACGCAAAATAGTCAGTGAAGGAGATCCTCCTCCATTTTTCTTGATTCCTACGTACATATGTATATATGTTTATTTTTTAAATAGCAAATTTAAATAGCCCATTATAGACTTATTTCTTGTCTAGTAAAGGTAAATTTAAATTCATTATACATTGGAATTAGCTGTAGTACATCTGACAAATCTAGATTGGTATAAAAAAATAAAAATTTTGTTGCTTATGTTATCAAAACAAAGTTGAAGTAACTACTAAAATTATTATTTATACTTGCACATTACAACTTTTTGAAAAATGCTAAAAGTATTTACCAATTGATGAAGTTCTAGCGAAGACTGTTAATATTTACTAGATGTTTAATAACATCTAATAATTGATTTCAACAATTTGCATGTTAACTCAGACGTTAAAATTCCTATTTAAGAATATGTGTCCTTAATGGCTAATTTAAAAACTCTATAACTACCTCTTTTTAAGTCTTTCAATGCATATTAAAATAATTTTCCATTTGTAACAAAAATTCATATTCTTCCATATTGTTTTACAGAAGTATACATGAAACGTTATATAATGGATTTAATCCAAAATGAAAAAAAAAATTTAATTATTTATTTTACACCATGTATTATGCTTTAACTTCAAGAAGTAAAGTAAAAATTTATCTATAAAAATAATAGAAAAAAAATGCAATAACATATGAAATTGAAATTATATTTTACATATAATATAGTAGAAGAAAATATTCTATTTTATTTTAAAGATAAATTTCTTAATTCAGATGTAATGTTTTTATTCTAAATTTTATTTTGCGATATACTTCTATTAATATTATCTAGCTAAGTTTCATTCGTATGACAAAAAGTAAAATTAATTGAAAACTGAAAATAATATGAATAAAATTGATAATTTCCTACTTATAAAAGATATTATTTTTCCTAAAGGAGACTTAATTCTTTAATTGTAAATTCTTTTTTAATATCTTTATATTTTACTTATATAATATTTTGTTTGGGTTATAATATTTTGTTTTGTTGGGTGGTTCAGATAATAATAAGATTATTCAACAGAACATTTTTCCAAAATATGGATCAGTATTTCTTTAAAAACATAGATTTTATTGCTATTCTATATTTTTGTATAAACTAATTGTTATTGTTCTTGAACATGATCTCAGAACTATGAAAATGTGATCTCAGTAGGCCAGTGATTCCCAACCTTTAATAATCATGAATTTCTTCCATAGATATATCGTTATTTTCAAAAAAACTTTTTAAATATAACTACAAGCTCATTTCTAGTTACAAGTAATTGTATCATTTATTTTCACAATATAATTTTCAAAAGTTTGTGGAATTATTGGGAATCATAATAAATATTTCACTTTATAAAATGCGAGCAATGTATTTTGTAAACTGCTACAAGGAAAGTGAGAAATAATATTATTTTCAAATATTTTATGCATAGCATAAAGTATATACTTAATCATTTGATCGAATATGAAAAATATGTAATATATACTGACAATGACGCATGTAAGTGTTAATAAATGTTACATACAGCTTGACTAACTCGTAATTAAATGTTTATTAATAGACTATAGATATTTACTTAAATTTTTGTTTTCATTAATATAATTAAAGAAATAAAACTAAAGTTTAATATATTTAATAGGATGTAATTCAGTTGTAATAACCAAAAGTTATTACAGGCATAAAGCAATTTCTCACAAAAATAAGAAAATAACATAGAATAAAGTTCTTTTATTCGAAGCTTAATTTTCAGCAAAAATTGAGTTTGAAAATGTATTATTTATTGTTATAAACTGAACAACAAGGAGAAATAGGCGATTCTAATATGAAAATAAATAAAAAAAAAAATATTAAATACAATTTTTTTAGAAAATTAAATTTAAATATTATTATAAAAGCATAAACGTATGCCAGATCTAATCTTAATTAAACGTCTTATTCAAACTCAATTTTTCAAAAACGAAACCTTAGATGTAAAAATTTTATTTCATATTTTCAATGATTCATGTCATAGTTTGAGAAATTAATTCCTACTCACTTGTACATAACTTTCAGATGTGCTCTATATATTTATACACTTTCAATTTCTTTTACTGCCGATATATAAAAGATCTCTTTTATATATCGAAGAAATCTTTAAAATTATTTTTAAAAGGAAATATTATTGAAGTGAGTTTACACGTAATAATTAAACTTGGAGAAGCCATTAAATTGCATAATTGCCAACAGATCTGTATAATGTAATCTCTTCCTAGAAATATGTTAGGGTTTTTCATCGTACGGTTACCTAGGTAGCCACGGACGACGAGATATGTTTAGCGTAAACAAATTGATTCTCGTGAGAAACTGAATTATTTTGTGGAAATCAATCGCGTATGACAGTTCTAGTTTGTGCGTATCGGCAACATGACATCTCTGGATTTAAGACAACAGAAACTTGAACAACAAGTATACAAATAGCGGATTTGAATACTTCTTCAGACAATAATTTTGAAATATTAAATTCTTGTTTAAATCGCAGACGTCTATCTCGTATTTATAATATTTCAGAAATCAGAAAAACTACATATTATGCTATGTGACTGCAAAAATAATTTTATTATTTCTTTAGTTAAAACTAAGAATTATATTATATTATTATATATATACGCGCGCGCGCACACATGCAACCCACACATACACACACACAGAAAATAGGTCATTTAAATATTTATCAATTTGTATTGATTATAAAATAATCTTTTCATTAAAACTGGATTTGAAAGTTCTACGTCCAAAGAAATATTATATTTTATCTTGTATATTTTTTATGTTTTTAATATAAATTCTTTATTAATAAATTTCAATTAAAAGTTTGGTATTTTAGTTTTCCAAATTTATTATTATACTGATTTTACCAATTATAGAGACAATTACTTGCACAAAAAATGAAACAAAAACGACAAAGTGGGGCTGGTGGAATGGTTCAAGCATCTAATATATCAAGCACTCAGCTTACAAGTCATTCTACAAAGTGGATGAATCCAAACAAAGAGCTTCATGGTAAATTTAACAAGTTAACAAAAAATTGCATATCTATTGAAACTATTGTATACATTCATTTCAGGATATGATGGGCCATTGCAATTTAATACATCACAAACAAATTCAGATTTAATTACATTTACAGAAAATAAGGAAATGGAATCAAGAATTAATGGTATTTTAATATCATATGTTAATCGAATTTAATTACACTTAAAAATTATGTAAAAATATCATTTTTTTGTTATAGAAGTAAGCACAGAAGGAGGTTTTTATCGAACTTTGGAAGCTACTGATTGTGCGGATGAAGAATCATCACCTATAGATATACATTCACCTTCAGAATCTTTACCATGTCTTTCACCTCTTAGAGTAGCTCCATCAGATGGTGCTAGCACACTTATCAATAGAGAAAATAATTCCTCAGTAAGTTTTTCTTTGACTAAAAAGATGCGACTCACATATCATTTATCCGACATATATCATTAATTTATTATTCAGAGTCCAGAATTAGAAGGAAACGTGGAAGGGAATATAGAGCATTTTGTACTACAACCAGCAAATAAAAAAATGCATTATAAGTGTAGGATAACACGCGATAGAAAGGGTATGGATCGTGGTCTCTACCCAACTTATTTTTTACACTTAGAACGTGATTATGGGAAAAAGGTATATGACTTTTTGAGTAATTTATGTAGAAATTAAAACGAAAACGATATTACATTTGTCATTTATAGATTTTCTTATTGGCTGGACGCAAAAGGAAAAAAAGCACAACAAGCAACTATTTAATTTCTACTGATCCTACTGACCTTTCAAGAACAGGCGAATCTTATATTGGAAAATTAAGATCAAATCTTCTGGGAACACAATTTACTGTATACGATAACGGATATTCCTTAATGAAAGAAGATAAACGAGACGATCGTTTTAATCCAAGGCAAGAATTGGCTGCAGTAATATACGATACTAACGTTTTAGGATTTAAAGGGCCACGTAAGATGACTGTCATTATCCCAGGAATGACATCGGATCAAAAAAGAGTTGAAATTTGTCCACGAGACGAATCTGAAACTCTTCTGGGTATGTTTAAACTATTATTTCGATATAAATGCTACTGAAACAGTGTTTCTATTTTTTATTTTTTATTTCTTTAGAACGGTGGAAAACAAAAAATATGGATAATTTAATAGAACTACACAATAAGACCCCTGTGTGGAATGATGATACACAGTCATATGTACTTAATTTCCATGGACGTGTGACGCAAGCTTCAGTAAAAAATTTTCAAGTAGTACATGATAGTGATGGTCAGTATTTTTTGCTTTTTGCATAAGGAAATATTTTAGATTAGAGAATACAAAATTTTAAAATAATCATACTTCTATAAATAAATAAAAAAATCATTTTATTTTAGTGGATTACGTTGTTATGCAATTTGGCCGTGTGGCAGAAGACGTTTTCACGATGGATTATAGGTTTCCATTGTGCACGCTTCAAGCATTTGCCATCGCTTTAAGCAGTTTTGATAGTAAGTTAGCTTGTGAATAATATAATTGAACATAAAATGATCATACATTCATGGGCGATAAACTATATTGATTAGAAGAATTTGCAATGGACAATCAATAGATTGCAATGATGCTTTTGTACAAACATATCTGTAACAGTAACTATTCTATTCAAATTTTCTGACGTAATCATTATAAATCGTGTGTTCATGTATGGGTACTGTTTTTAAATACTAAATATATTTCGCATTTAATGCTCGCACCAGGTATTAAAATGACAACTATAATTCTATCGTTATTGGTCCTAATACATCGTTCTGTAATGTGCATTTCGATTTGTATTACACATGCAATATTTTATTGTTAATACTTCTAATAATAATATTGCTTATTGTGATGAATAATATACATGGTAAAGAATTATAATTTGAAACAAATTGTATAATTTCTAATTTATATTTTATTAATTATTTGTTATCTTATTCAGTATCTGAAATATTTCAAACTATGTTTGTGCAATCAAATATCTGGTGTTTACAAGGTTGACATTTTGGTACTATTATGAAGAAGTTTCTACACAAACGGTATTTTATATGCTCGAAAGCAACACATTAAACGCAGCAATGACATTGATACACTGCACAACTTACTGCCTAAACAGATGATAATGAATCTTCATATCAAAAGTGTATAGAGTTGTTCTTATGCTATACATTTTTGCTTGAAAAGTTCAAGCACATTCTACTATTCATGATAATTTAAATAATAATGCAATAAATTATGTAAGATAAAAAATATTTTTTAGAACTGACAGGGATAAATAATCACTTTCTTGCAAACGGAATTCTACGTAATTTATTACTTTTTTGTAAAAATGGCAATAATCACAAATGACAAATAGTTTTTATTACATAATATTGCATCTCATTTTATGAAAAATTTTTCAATATTTAAGTTTAAATTTTTAATTTTTCAATATTAATAGTAATAATAAATTGAAATTGTTATAGCGGTGTAAAAACGATTTCTGTGTATAATGATCTATTAAAATCTATTGCCTAAATGTATCATTTGAGATACATATCAAACATTTTTATTTGATATATAACTTATTAATTAAGACATTTTATTATTGACATAAAATTCTTTATATTTATAAAAGTACCAAAGATATGTTGATACTAATACAAGATGACACTTCAATGTTGGGTCTTTTATATAATATTAGTTATATATTTCAACGTTGGGCCTTTATGTAATATTAATTACACATTTGGGAACTGCAAAGAAAAACCTGAAAATATTTATTTCATTGTATAAATTATCTATTAAATTCGATATTTATGAGCATGTAAATAATTATGCATTATTTTTGTCAAATTTACAAAAAACCAAATTTATTATTATTTGAAGATTTATAAGATCATTTATTAGTATGTTTTATACAATTGAATGTTAGATATTAGATAGACATAGTATTGAATGATTATAGATAAATAAATATGAGATAAAACAACAAATAAAGATGAGATAAAACAACAAAAAATGAAATTAAACAAATGTAAAATTTCAAAAATAGCGTTATAGAAATATTGAAAAAAATTTGTAACTTTATAAATTTTTTATACATCTTAAATTTTGTTTGTGATAAAATATTGCTATTTATAAAAAAAATAAATGTATATTTCATCAAAGAAAGGTGCTACTTAAGGCAAAATAATTTATCAAGGAAAGCAAAACTAATTTAGATATTACTATAATTAAACAGTATTAATATTATTTAGAATACCAATTGGATATTTTATAAGTGTAATATTTCATACTGGATTTATTTTTTACTTCGGTAATATAAATACCGAATAGCACTTAAGATGTGTTGGTAATATCTTAATCGTGTGTATTGTGTGTATTTGTATGCGTATGCATTAGAAAGTAAAATGTGTAATTAGCTTATCACATTTAATGTTATAAGTGAAAGTGTTCAATGGGTATTATATTTTCACATCTGAAAATAAATACAAATTGCAACTTTTCATTATTTATTTTCGAACCTATAACTTAATATAGATTTGTAAGAAAACAATATATAATTAATAGGTTTATAAAACCAAAATCATTCTTAATCTTTAACATAAAAGGAATGGGAAATAATTGAAGATGAAATACTTATTATCATAATATTTATTATTATAGAGTTTAATAGAAAAAGATCATATGAAATTTGTACACAAATACTAAATAATAAGATTAGTGAGCAGAAATTTAATTCTTTTAGTTGGAAAAATTCTCTTGTATTAAAATATAATAAAGGCACTTGATATTTAAAGATACAAGATAAAGAATGTGCATGAACATGACTATCACTTTTATGTTTATTATTTATAATATGAATACAAGTTTTCAAATTCTTTTTACATGAATATTTGTTTAAAAAGAAGTTATACAGAAATATGTTTTTCACTCTCGTATTAAATATAGTACTATTTTCCTAGTCTTATTAGTACTCTTCTTTTTTGCTATTTAAAAATATATTTAAACTTGTCATGTAAAAGTAGACCTTTTTACATCTTGATTTATATCTTGATTTATTGCATAGAATATTAGCTTTCAAAGAATTAACATCTTAAATATACTCAAGTCAAATATACTCTGTATTATTATTATATACGTTAAGAAATAACCATAAATCCATGCCTGTATTATTACATGTTCAAACATAACGCAACAAGCGCAACGATTTACCATAAAATATGTAGCACTATAATTCAATATTAAATGGAAAAATTGCAACTATATGTATAAAATTGGCAATAATCCTAAAAGCCACATTAATGAATGAGCACTTTATCCTCTTACTATTATTGCTTTAAGCAAAGAGTTATAGAAGAGGAATTCTGAATAGAATATCAAATATAAAAATGCTAAGATAAATCGTTTGCAATTACAAAATAATTTCACACAAATATTCTTGAATATAGAACATCTTTGAAGCATCAATTATATTGTAAAGTATTCTTAGAATTGAATCTTTTGAAAATCCTAGAGACTGTTTTGTCAAGTTCATTTTGAAAGTTTAAAAATTTGTTCATTATTAAAAGATTCTTCATAGATATTCTAATTATAATTATTACTTATTTATCAATTTATTTTTATAAAATTATAACATATTGTTATATATATATATATATATACACATATATAATAAAGTATTATTATTATTATTATGTATATATTTATATTAACTGACAATGGATTTTTCTTAAGCATCTGTACGCTGCGATATGTTACAATCCTTAATTTCTTGATTTGATATAATAAATGATGTTTTAGGACGGAAATGAAATGCATGAAGTATACAATAAATGATAATTTATTGTATACATTATTTAGTAAGCTCCATAGTATAGAAAATAAATTATGTTATTAGAAGTCATTTAAGAAATTATATACAAAAACAATAATCAATTTGCCCAAGGAGAAGTTTACTCTATTAGTCCTTAAATATAAATGCGACATTTTGTAGACTTGACGATTCAGAGATGTAATTAAAAAAATGAAAAATTGATTTCTAATTAATTATATTTTTTATTACTTAATAGAAGGCTATTGTAGAATGTACTACAAGGCACTTCTATATTTTAAAATATTTTATATACAGTATCTATTTAATAGAAATGATTAAAATTTTTAGTCAGCGTACAAAGCATATTTTTGGTTTCACTGTAATGCATAAATAGATCTATTTTTTAAATTTGCAGGTTTTAGTAATTAAATTGATATCGACCTTACGATACACAAACAATTTTTTAATTAACTTTTGGTAACTATAACGTAACATAAAATAATAAAAGCATAAAATAATAAAAGCATTTTCATCTAATTTTCATCTATTAAAAGCATTCATATCTAGAATATAGAAGTTATAAAAACCACAGTTGAAAATATAATTATTGCAGATCAACAAAAATTATGCTTGACGGTATTAAAAATATAAAAATATCCCGCTTAGAATCGATAATATACCATAAATTGCTATGTATCTAAATTAATTTAGTATGTACTCCATTTATATTAGAAATAATACTGCAGCAATTTCTTTTTAATAATTTTAAATATTTTATATATTATAAAAATTTACATAATAATGGTTACATTTTAAACTTTCATGTTCTTATATAAAAAAAATTGTATTGAAAAATTTCAATTGATATTTGATATCTTTTCAATATCTTTTCTGTTTATTTTGAGTAATAATGTAGTTCTATGAAAATTATTATTTTTATTATTTGAATAACTTTTCTTTATATGTGACTTTTTTTATGGTAGTATAAAATTAACTTATTTTAAAATATTTTCTTTTGTATTAGTACTCTTTGTATTAGTTTATTCTCATTATCTGATATGTTTTTTTGATAAAGTTTATAAAAATGTCAGTCCAAAAATTTATCTTATAACTAGATGCAGCATATTATTGGTATATTATTAATCCTGAAAATGGAATACACGCATCATGCATATACTCTCTTGTTGATATACAACTCCATTTTATATTTAATAACATTTTTATAAAAAATTATTTTTATATATCTGCAGCATGTAATGAAGATACTTCATGCTGCAAAGATAGCAATTCACATTCATTACATTATTGTATTTTCGCAATATATTAAAATTCATTAACAGTTCAAATTGAAATATAAGCATTATATAAATAATTATTAATGGAACAAAAAATTTGGAGGGGTAATTTCTGGAAGATGTCAAAATATGAAACAAAGCAATTTACATAAAGTCAAACTAATCAATAATTAAAAATTTTATAATCTAAATAGTCTTTCAATAGATATTTTGGTTTTAAAAAATTGTATACCAAATTATTACAAAGATATTTCATTTTTAAATTTGTTGTTTTCTTTATAAACAGTGATAAAATAGTTCAAAATTGGTATAAATTCAATCTTTTTTTGTTTATTATCCTCGAAAATTTAATAATACTAAATTTTATCATGTTTGAAAGGATTCTCCCTCCAGGATCACAACTTAAAACATCTTTTATACAAGTTACGATATGAATACAGATTAAATTACGAATATTATTTAAAAACACATACTTTGATTATAAATACTTATAATTTTACGTATATCCTCGTTTTATATCACCTTGGATATTTTTTACAGTTGGCCTAACAAATCTAGGTGCTGGTATGCGTGATGGTGGTCTAGGAATAGCGCTCATAAGATTTGTAGATCTACTTCCCGTGTTCCAATTTGTTGGCTGTCGCAATCTCGTTTTGTTTTCAACTTTCATAACTGGTTTATTGAAAACCTATATAAGAGTATGACATTTAATAGATAATTTTAAAAATTGTTGTATTTAAACAAGATTGCAAGATAACAAACAATAAACTCACTTCAATTTTCTTCACCACATCTATTTCATTCTGTTGTTTCAATACAGTTTCTGTAGATTGACCTTAAAAAATACATTATAAATATCTTTTATGTAGTCAAATCGAAATTATACGAAGATCGCCAAATATATTATTAGAACTTACCATCAGTATTTGACTGACTAGATCTCATGGGACTTTCTATTGGAGAGCTTGTTATAACATTAAACTCTGTACTCAATGATGAATCACTATCACAATTATCAACACCATTTTTTAGTATAGGAGAAAGTAAATCTTTTTTTACATGAAAAGTATTTTCTAAAACTCGCTTATTCAATCGAGACGTTGCATCTTGTTTTAAACCTAAAGTATATAATAAAAGAATAATATATTTTACAGACCATATTCTTAATATTATGATTTTATATTAATTGTCAGACATTGAAGCTGAATTATTTCATATCTTTATAAAAAAACATATATTGTTTTAATAATTTAGATAAAAATTTTACAAACAATTATCATATATATCAGATAAAAAATACATAAGATAAGAAATATATAACTTACTTTCTTCCTGCATCCGTACTATTTGATGCAATTGTTCAATATTCATTGGCTGCGTAGTGTATGAATTGTGACTACTATCTGAACATGTACTGAGCCTATCATCCAAATCAGGTGCACTATGAGCACTCTGTGTACTTTCAATACTCTCTGTAGATCCCCCAACACCTAATATTTGAAGTTCTCCAACGCCTGCGTTCAGTTCTAAGAGACGTTGTTCAGAACCACTCATTTTTCCAAGAGAATACGATTTGTTTGCTAGACTTGCTTTTTCAATATCTTTCACAATATTTGGTTGAGAACCTTTCATGTAGCCATAGTTGGACGCGTTCGTATTTGTTATGTTAACAGTTTTCAATGAATTGGATACAAGATTCGGATTAGATTTTTGAAGAAACTGAGGCAATTTTGAGAGCATCCGTGGTATGTGTTGTTTCCTCTTCTGTGATTTTTGAAATGGTTTTTTGAACGTAGCGTTCACATTGTCAATCGATTCTGCATTTTCCATATCAGTTTTGCCACCGTGATTGCTACCTTTTTTGGTAAATGTATAATATTTCTTATCTGGCAAATTTTTAATGCAAGCTCCTGCCCCATCTGTTGTTTCGGCATGAGATTTAATTTTATTAATTGACGATTCTTTTCTATATGTATTATATTTATTTTCTGCAGGAATACCATCTTTGACATTCTGACTCAAGAATTCATCGATTTCCTTCTTAAGTTTCCCACTTTGATGTTCTTTAATTCCATGATTGAAAGTATAATCCAGTCTATGATCTCCAGTTTTATATATTTCTGATAATAATTCTTTCCTCAATAATGTGGATGCTTTAAAATTCAAATTTAAAGCCGTATTGTATACTTGAGATGATTCTAAAGACTTGGTAATCGTTCTACTCGTGGAACTCTCTGTATCTGTATTTTTAGGGGTTGATTGAAAAACAGGCAGTTTAAACATGGGAGGTTCAGCATTTTTTGGTATATCACAAGTTATAGATTTTTGTAAGTTGTATATTTGATCTTTATCATGTTGTAGATCACTTGTTCCAGTTGAAGTTGTACTAATTGCATTTTCAATATCTGCTGTACAATATGTAGTATTTAAAACAGATGAATTTTTTGCTTTTTCAAAAACTAAAGGACATGTAGTGTTTAAATTGCATGATTTCTTTCTTTCATTATTTTCCGATTGTAATATTTGTGTATCATCATTTTTATTTACATACGTGGAAGACAACTTTGTTGTACTAAATCTATCTTTATCTGAACTTGGCAATACAACCATTTTAGGAGTTACATCAGTATTATAGGTCTCATTTAATTCCTTTTCAACATCAGATTTATTTGTAAATGTCTTATTCGTTGTGCTCAGGCAGTAGCTAGTAATATTATTGTCTAATTCATTAACTTTTAGGAAAGTTTCATTGATGTTTGAATCCTTAGCACCTTCACACTTATCAATTTCTTGACTGCACCGAATCACATTTGAAGATTCCTCATGTTTACTGGGTTCTGAACCATGTAATGAATCATCTTTAGGTAATGAGATGATAGATGAATAAAAGATAGAAGGTTGTGAAATGTTCATCAGTGGATCATTAAGTCCAGGTTCCACTAAATTAATAAACGAATCAATTCCTTTTGAACGAGACATATTTAAAAATACTTCCATACTTTCTTGACCAGATGTTACAGATTCCTCAGAAAAAAAATTACTGTTTGCATTGATTGCCATTTTTAACATAGGAGGCACAGCCTCTTCTCTATTGGCAGTAGTTATGTCTGAATATTTACTGAACTACATTTGAAATAGAAACATATTTAAATCTACATTTTGAATATAAATATGTAATATACATGTACTGCATAAATGTAAATAAACTTACATTCTCATCTATATTTGAAAAATTTGAAGTTCTCCACGTATTTGACACAGGTGAAGATAAAGATTCCAAAATAGATTCGAAACTAGTTCTACTAGACCGTTTTTTGGATCTTGTAAATGTTCTTGTATCGATAGATTTTCTATTAACTAAATAAAAAGTAAATAAATTATACATTCAAAATGTATTATTATAAAATAATAACTGATATGTTCAATACCTGAAAAACTTAATTCTGGTTCAGTTCTCAGCCAGGTATACAAATCATGAACAGTGGATTCCATTTTATATTCCGATGGTATGTATAACCTAACGAAAAACATAATCATAAACTACTATCTGAGCTATTATTATATATATAGACAAATATAGAACCTGACAAATGATTCATTTAACTAAAATACATACTGTTAAAATACACATGATTCATTTAACTAAACACACATTATGTTCAATGAATCATATGCACTTTTTCTTCGAGACTACATTACATTTTTAGTAACAATAATAATAAAAAAATAAAATCTAAGGATCGTCGATGATCTCTTTCAAATTTTCAAGAAATTTAAACAATCAAACTTACAAGAAAATGAAAATTTCTTATAGACCTAAAACGATGCTCAAAGCAGTTCAATTATTGTAAACACTTGAGATAATTATGGGTTATGTCAAAGCTACTTACCAGCCATCGCTATCATCAAAGTCAAAGACAGACACATCAATAATTTCAGCTTCATCAATCAGAAGAGCATCGTTTATATACTGCCTCTGCACAATTTCTGTATCCACTTTCTTCTCTGACATGTTTTGCCCAATAATTATGATATTAACATTTCCAATGAACACATATTTTACCGTTAAAGCCTCTTTTTCCGTTCGGTTCGGTGACGTGGTAGATATATAAAAGTAGTGTCGCGTTTTGCCAAGTCATTTACAAAATTCCTGAAGTTTCGGCACCATTTACAGTTCAAAAATACGTATTATTAAAACGAATTGAACCCTTGACAAACATAATCACAGATAGGATAATAGGAACTTTTTTTGGGAGGATTTTCAATTTGTTTTGAAGAAGAACCAAAGGAAACCACGACAAACAACATTCATAGATGGTTGCCTTTCATTGCATTTTCTTCAACATCTTTTGACTTTCCTTTTATAATAGCGTTCACTATAGTTTTATATCTGTTTTACAACCTGTTTTTTCAATGCTTTATCCGACCAATAGAATTTCAGGAAATCTAGGAAATTATGAGTAGCAGCCTTACGATTTCACTTTAAAGCACATCTTCAGAAAACAAATTACAAATTTAATTAACTGTGAAAGGATAATTTTTCTTGTCTTTAATTATGTTAGTGAAACAATAATTAGATTTAACGTCAATTAATAATTTTACAAAAAAATGAAAATAAATCTTTTAACCTTTGATCTCATTTTTAACCAATATTTAACCAATTCATTACGTAGAATAGAGCATTGCAGATTTTTTTTGATCAAACTTTTATCATGATAAATTACAAATTAAAAATATAAACAGGAAAAATATTTCATATAGGTATGTTTATAAAACATATATTCATATATATCTCATATAATCTTTAAATTATTATTAGATAGTTGCATAATATTGTTTGTAATTGTTACAGTACTGGAAGTTTATTTAACAATTACTGCTTTACGTTTCAAATAAAACTGGTAATGTGAGACACTGTTGATATGTATTACATGTGCATTAAATAGGTTAACATGAACCTAACATAATAATTTTTTCATGCGGTATTTATCTATGTTAAGTACAGCATATTAAAATCAATTATATTAAAAAGCAACTGTTTTTGTGCAAGATAAAAAAATGTAAGTTTTAAATGTAACTGAATGATACAAATTTTTGAAGTGTTATTTATTTAACATAACAATTTAATATATATTTTATTTCTAGCGGAAATGAGAAAAAATTAAGCATTGCTGGAAAACAACAAATTAGAATAATTTAAAATGTACATTTAAGAAACAACATATATTTTAACTAAGTTAAACAAATTTAAGTAAATTTTTACATTGTTAAAAATTTATTGTTTAAATAATGAATATTAACTTGGACAATAATGAGCCAGTTGAAAAAAGAATTAAATCTAATGAAATAGAAAATGATTCATTCAATATTTTAAATGATGAAAGTAACACAAATAGAAATCCTGAATATCAAGAAAAGACAGATTTAACAGATATTGAAGATGAAAATATGCCACTAAGCAAAAATGATGATGATGATGATGATAGCTTATTTCCATTTCCTCCAGATAGTGATGTTACAGATATGTTGGAAGGAGTAAAATATCATGGATTGTTTCCTACAATTACAGATCGTTATTTTACTGCCTATTATAAATTAGATGTACAAAGTTATACAGATGATATTTGTATTTTAATGCATAGTAATCGAATTTGTATGCTTACTCTTGCCCCAAGTCATGCAATTCTTCAAAACGATAAACATATAACAAAAGTAGATTTTAAAGTTAGCAATAAATTAGATAGAGTTCAAAATAAAGTTTCTGGTAAAAGCAAACATGGTGCTCAACCTTTACAAACAAATTCCAATATTTGTAAAATTACTTGTACAAATGAAAAACCATATATTATAAAATGTTGTATAATTGGCAAATTGGTAGAAGTAAATGAAACACTAATACAAAATCCTAAACTCTTATTAGAACCTCCACATAAAGGAGGTTATTTAGCTATAATATTGCCAAACATAAAACTTTTAGATAAAATGAAAGAATCTTTATTAACTCAAGAACAATATAACTTGAAAATATTAGAGCGACAAGATACTGCAAATCACTTGGAAAAATCAAAAATATATACATCGAATACTTCATTAAAAAATGATACAAAAATAATGAATGAAAAAAGTCAACTGAGCTCTAATAAAAATCAAATTACATTGTCTAATATAAGCTGATTTGATCAAATAGCATTATACATATTTTATTTAAATTTCTAATAAAAAAATTTATTTAATTTTTGTTTTTTATTACAATTAATATTTCAAAATGATAATTTTAGTTATTACTATTTACAATTTATAATGCTGTAATCTTTGGTATAATCTTCAATTCATAAATTTAGAATATTAAAAATGTTTTTGTTTAAATTGTGTATTCCAATGGATTATATTATCAACAATACTAAAAATATTATGATAAAGATTGTAATTGAAATTCAATATTGTCTTATGACAATAAATATAATTAATTAATACATAAAACTAATTAAATAATTAAAACAAAATTAATTATTTAGTTTACTGGAGCCAGCCAGTTATTTACTTCATGTTTTTTACCTATTATATATTATCTATCCCTATAGTATTACAGTTTGTAGTCAGTACAGTTCACAATTTAACAATTATTTCTTAAATTATGATGCTTTCCTTCAGTGAAAGTATGTTCCTTTTCTGACTCTTGTATAGCATCATCACTTTTTTTAGATTTAGTGTTTTTCATGAGATTTCCTAAAATAATTCCTGTAAAAAGAATCATTCCTATCTTGTGATTGGAGATAAATTTTTTTGCACAGTCTGCAGGATTGTTAATATTTAAACTGTAAATCTAAAAAAATATTTATATTGAATTGTAGATTATAATTTTGTTTAGTTAGATTATATTATTGTTTCAAAATTATATAATGTATACCTGATTACCAAGATGAGTACTAACTAATCCTAATGCTGTGTAATATGGCCAAGTCTGTGTACTTAATATACCTGATGTAAGTAACCCTGTTATCATGACTATACTAAATCCAGATAAATAAAATTTAGTTTTGTCTTCAAACTTTAAAGCTGTTGACTTTATGCCTACTATAATATCATCTACTTTATCCTGTAATTAACAAATAAAGAACAAATTAAAACACATTAAAGTAATCATATAAAATATTAAATTAAATATATTAAAAAGTTAAAAAAAGTTAAATTAAAAAGTTAAAATTTACCTGATGTGCATATATAGTATCATATAAAAGTGTCCAACAAATTCCAGCAATATAAAGTGGTAAGCATACAGACCAATTGCATGATCCATGCACAGCAGACCAACCCAAAAGTGCACCCCAATTAAAAGTCATTCCAAGAATTAACTGTGGCCAGTATGTCACTCTTTTCATAACTGGATATATTATTACTAAGACTGTAACAAAAAAATTTAAAAATATTTACTTTAACATTTCTAAATTCATAATTTTTTTTAAAAAATACAGAAGATTGTAATCATAAAATGTTTGGATTTTTGTATCTCTATTAAAATAATTTCTCCAGTTATTCTTTTGTTTTTATTTGTAGTAACTTATAATAAAGATAATACTTTGAAAATTGAAAATGATTTAACACGTTCAATTAATAAAATTACGAATACTGTTTTATATAAATTGTTTAAAAGTAATACCTAGTGAGCTTGCACCCAATATAATACTATAAAGATTTAGTTGCAATAATACAAGCAATCCCAAAGTTAATTGGCTTCCAAGGAAAATCAATGATTGTAGAGGCGAAATTTCTCTAGTAACCAATGGTCTATCTTTTGTTCTGGCTACCTAACATTAAAATACTCTTATAATATCTTATTTTAGAATATTATCAATTTAATATTACCATCCCATCAATATCTTGATCCCACATATCATTTATGATACATCCTGCTCCACGCATAATGAATGCACCTGTTCCAAAAAGGGTTAAAAGTTTAAGATCTGGCAGAGTACCTGGTGCTGCAGCCATGGCTATACTCCAACCACATGGCCAAAATAATAACCAAGATCCTACATTTAGAAATTATTAATTAAATGATTAATTAAAAAGTTATGTTTATTTCATGTTATAATAACAATAATTTTTAAATAACTTTCATCTTACCTATTGGTCTATCCAACCTTATAAGTTTCAAATATGGTTTTATTTTAGGTGGAGAGTTATTTACTAATTTTACAGCAAATGTAATCTTTTTCTTTGATTGAACATTTGTTGTTTTAACAAATTCTGTCTCATCGTACATATTTGGTAAGGGCTTAATTGACTTTAATTTTTCTTGCGATAGTGCTTTATCATTTTCATAATTACATTTATTATATATACAAGACACAGTATGAATTGTATTACAAGAACATAAGTAGTTCATGGTACATTCTTTTTTACTAAATTGCAGATAAAATCTTAAACATTTTCCATGTCTAAATAATTGTTGATACAACTGCATTATTTCGTTTTTTTTATCGATTATAAATAATGCTCAGAAATTTTTAAAATAACCTCAATTTTCTTTAATTCAAGTCATGTTATGAGTAATACAAATTATTGAAAATAGTAATCGTATATATCCATTAATAATACTATGCATATCTTCTAAATCATCTTAACAACAAACCTTTTGGCATTTTCTTGCATTACATAAGGAATATTACAACACGTGCTACAAAATTTAATCGTCATTCGTCGTACTTCATGGCAGAATTGCATAGCGTTGCATAATACGTTGTATGCGCACGCGCTCAGTATATTCCGATACGCTATACTTAAGATAATGTTGTACTGTGAATATGACAAGTGAATAATAAACGATAAAGACAATTTTAATTTGAATTTGTCTTCGCATTTAACCATATCCAAGAAAATTCTGTTCAATCGGATATACATAATATTTTTTCTAATCTAAGTAAGTATAAATTAAGTAAATAATAAATAGATAATTTAGAGAAAAATACATTCAATACAAAAGAAATGTTATATAAATATCAATATTTATATACGTATGCATGTATAAATACAATATTATAAATCTGTAAAATATAAAGTATATTATACTTTAAATATTATCAATTATCCATCATATATGTACAGATACACACACACACAAAATACATTAGATATATATTTTATAATATATATTTACTATATATAATATTTATATATATCACTTGCAATACATCACTTGCAATAACAAAACTCGGAAAAGTGTTTTCCGAGAAATTTTGAACAGAATTACATATTATTTCATTAATTAAAGAAATGATTTATCTAAATTATGATACAATAATACGTTTTTTATCTTATATCTACTTGTTCGTAATGACATAAGATAAAATTCATAAGACGCATAGAATATTGCATAAATCCCCTTTATTGATCGAATTATGGATATAAATGAATAATATTCTCATAATTAGTCGAGAAGGAATTATGTCATTTTTAATGTGTACGATATTAAATATGATGCATATTTATATTTATTATTACATATATTATCAGTTATAAATATTATATAAAATATAATAAAGTATTTCAGCTCGATCGGAATGCTTGTTCTTGAAAAACCCGCCATAATGTTTCTATGTAACATTCAAGGAACCAGTACGTGTAATTGGTTATCGGTGATTATTTTATGTTCAAGGTACTTTCAAGTAAACTGCGGCTTTTTACAATGTCTGCAGAACAGAAATTCGAAGTTTTATTTATTTTGGGTGGTCCCGGTGCGGGAAAGGGAACATTGTGTAGATACATTACTGAAAAGTATGGTTATGTACACTTATCAGCTGGTGATCTATTAAGAGAGGAACGTATGAAACCGAACTCAAAATATGGGGAACTTATCGAAAAATTTATCAAAGACGGAAAGATTGTACCAGTTGCAATTACTTGCAGTCTTTTGGATAATAGCATGCAGACGAGCGACAGTCCACACAAAAGATTCTTAATTGATGGTTTTCCAAGGAACCAGGATAATGTTGATGGTTGGAATGAGGTATAAAGATAAAAATATATATTTTGATTAAACACTGAAAAATTATATCTAAGAATCTAAATCATGTATAAACATTTATAACCTTCTATCATGTTTTTCATCTATTGATAGGCAATGTCAAAGAAGTGTGTAGTAAAAGGAATATTGTTTTGTGAATGTAGTAAAGAAGTATGTACTCAACGATGTTTAAAGCGTGGCGCAGCAGGAAGTGGAAGATCTGATGATAATGAGGAAGTTTTAGTCAAAAGGCACGAGACTTATATCACAAATACACTACCCATAATCGAATATTTTGAAAAACAAGGCTTGATATACAAAGTAAATAGTATGCAATCACCAGAAAAAGTATTCGAAGATGCTAAAGAGATTCTATCTAAAATAGGATGGTGATAGATTAACAGAGAATATTAATTGATCTCAGTGAGATCAAATTATACTCCATTTGCATTTAATGTTGTTTTATTGAAGAAAAAAAAATATATATATATATTTTGTAAGAAAATTTTATTCATATTTAAGGTATTAATTTTATTCATATGTAAGGTATTAATTACATTTAATTGCACATAAGAGATATTAGATTTCTTTGACTTCAATATACAGTCTTAGTACTTTTTATTTTCTTATAGATAGTGTAATTTTTATTATGCACACTCTTTTGCTATTTTTATCAATATCTATAAAAGAAAGGGATCTATTTGGAATTTTTTGGAATTTGATACAATGTTATACATATATTTAGATATGCTGATATAGAAAAACTTATATTTAAAATTTCCTTAAATGCTTTAATATTTCCTCGAAATGTACTATACGTAGAATATATTTTTGTTGCAATAATAAGTTGTTTTTTTATTCAATTTTTACATATAAATCTAATACCTCAACTGTATTTTCATACTTAATACGATAATTGAAGATATCAATCTAAAAAAAGTATTATCAAAAATTTAATTGGTTGATATTATTTTTTGGAATTGTTTATTTTTCAACTCATTTTTCAAAATCACTTATTCATTTTTTTTACTTATAATCTCTCAAAAGAGGGCAACATCCTTTTATCATTATCATCGTAGTCATTAAGATTAATGGACAATCTTTTATCAGTATATTTTTCATTTTCAAAATAAGATTGATACGTAATTGAGTATGTGGAATGATTCTTTTAAATTTTTACACGATACATTGAGCCCCTTGAGAAGATAACCAAATGTAGTTGTGAAATAAAATTTTGCCATACTACAGGCGATAATGATTCTCTATTCTTATTGTTTTCAAATAAAAAGTTGTTATTTACTTAATCAAACAAATATTTAAATAGAAATATCAGCTATCTCGAATGTTTGGTTAGAAACCAAACTTCCCTGATTATTAAGATTTACCAAAAAGAATGTATTTCTATCTTTTTGACAAAAGATAAGAAAGAATTGTACATATTAGAATAAAATCGTTTTTATGTTTCCATTAGTATAATTCAAATAAAAATTTCTTAAAAGAAGAGAAATTTAATTGTGCGTTATGCATTTGTCATCATTCATTTTTAAAACATTAAAAAAGTGACCAGAGTTTAGATATTTTAAATAATTATAATTGACGGAATGACGCGCATTACTATTGAAAATGTAAACAATATTAATTCATAATGACATATCCGTTCCGAGGTCACATATTAGCCCATGAATCATTGAACTCGCAAGATATTGGATGTTGTGTAGTATAGTGTACACAGAACGTCTCGTAATTCACGTTCCTACTGAAAAGAGGACGATTTCTCATCCTAAAATAAATCGAAAATGAAATGAATCGTTGGAAGAGTTTTCTTAAAAATAAAAGTTTTCATAAATAAACTTCTACCGAATACATTTTATTGTCGTTTTAATTAGAAGTAGAATAAAAATGTTTTGAAATTTAATATTAGAAGTTTTTGTCAAAATTATATAATATAATTAAAGGCATATTTTATAGTTAAATAAATAAGATGATTTTTTATGATTCTTTTGTGACAAATGTCTGTTATGTTAACTTTTGATCAAGATTTCTGAATTTAAAGAAAGAAAAGGAAGATGAACAGATGAAACCTGAAAAAAAAAGTGATGCATTAAGAAGGAACCCGAATCGACTGCACGTGTATCTGATTTCGAAATGCTTTTCATACAAAAGAATTTCATTCAACGACTTCATGTTTCTTTTTTAGATGAAGAATAACTTGCTATCTCTTGGAGCTATGAAATTCTATCATATTATTCTTGCGTAAGCTTCTTACTTGAAGAGTTAATGAAATTTCAGGTATAACATTAACAATAAGATTTTTTTATGATCCAGAGGAATGTACATTTTTTTTTTAATAAAATTATATTTTTAATATGAAATTTTTAATCCCTCAAAAATAATATAATAATATTATTATTTACATAACGTGAAATTTTTGAAGTTTATTTGATTCCTACGTGGGCAAGGAATTATTTATAAATTGAGAGACAAACGATAAAGTGGAAGTTGAAATTCTGCAATGAAAGAGCGTTGATTTCTTCCGTTCGATTATAAATTGACCGCCGCTCTTGAATTGATGTGCCTTCACCGACAGAAGATCGACCCGTTTTTAACTTTCTCATCGAGGTAGCCGAAATGTATATTGCTGATGAGTTACCACGACCATCACAAGAACGAAAGATATATAAAAATAATTCTCAATAATGATCAAGGCTACCAAATGCCTGTACAATAATTTCATGAAATTTTCCGCAATTCCTATCTTTATTCGGTATCAGTTCAGTCAGTTAAGTATTAGAGTTTTGCGTCTAATCACTGCGACTCGATTCTCTTGTATCGATTATCTACGAGTAAACTACATTTCTGTTCCACACGGTAATCTTTATCGGTCGTGTTCTTTATGATTTCTGTATCTAACTTCATGGATCTTTCTTTCATTACGTACTTAACAAATTTGTAGAAAAAGAGTATTATGAAAAATAAATTAAATTAAAGAATTAGTTTTTTGAATACGATGTTCTCGTATGAAAAATACTATAAGAATTGTTTTCTTCGGTATAGTTAAAATTCTGTTTACTTACTCTTCTTATTTCTTATTTTTTATTTCATAAACAATCATTTAATCTTCATCGTTGAACTTCTTTGTACTTGTTAGTTTCCAAAATTCTCCCTTTTAATTATTCGCTACGTGATACGGTGTGTGCCTGAAATGACAATATGTAATGCAAAATTGTTGATTGTTATAATTGCTGATTCATACAAAAATATCTGATTGTATAATATCTATAATTAAATATCTCAAGGTATCTTTGGTACCTATGTATACTATAGCTAGCATGACGACGAATCGTGTGACGAATCGAATAGAATTTGAACTCTGGTTGTGGACATTATTTGTTTAATTTCCTCAAATTTATCGCTAACATTTAATTTGTTTTCTTCTCTCATTTGTAAATTACAATGAATTCTGACGATTTTTTTTTTTTTTTTGAATGATAAGCAGAAATTTCTTCATCCAACTTTCTTAAATTCTCCGAATTAATCGACTTTCTATAAAGAAACGGTTTCCATACGTAGGAAGTTTCAAAGTCATTCTAAATTCTGTATCAAATCTACCAAAGACTTTGTAATAGGTTCCTTATTCAAACAAAGTCGTCATTTGTATTCGTCAGATGTACCAAAAACTTTGTAGTAAATTCTTGTTCGAACGAAGAACTTACTCGTATACCTGTCATTGACATCAAGAAATTATATCGTTCATACTATATTCTCATCCAACTATTAGTCATGTAAAGTTTCAGGACATTGTCTCTTGAATATGACTCACTAAAGAAAAGAAGGGGCTTCACCGCATACTTATTTTAGTTTCTTACAGATGCATGTGTCGATTCCACGGTGTTTCCGCTTATCATTTGTTCCCACTATTCTTCAGTTTAAAAAAAA